AGGGCATCAGTTTTGGCAGTAAGACCAATTCTGGCAAAACTGAGGCGAGGATGTGATGCTGGTGAATCAGATTTGCAAGATGTTCACGCAGTCTTGCTAGCTCGCTGTGCACATTTCCCTCAAAAATGCAAAATCGGCCGTATCCAGCTGTGGGCAATTTTTTTTTTTGAATAATAAAAAAAGTAATATATTATTTGGTGCGACTCAACTCTGAAAAAAGGCATAATTTTTACGAAACGAAACTAACTTTAAAATTTCAAAACTGTGACAACAGAATCCCGAAAAACATCATTTTTTTTTTTGGTAAAAATTTCACAATTCTGGTAAAAGAAATTTTGGTTTCAATTTCACAATTTCCCAAGAAATTCCACAACTGTGACAAGAGAAAAAATTTTGGTAAAAATTTCATTATCATTTTACATCATAATTTTCTACCACTACTTATTATCGGAACTTTAATTTCTAATTTTAATGCAAAATGGTCACTAATACCAATAATTTCCGAAAAATCGGCGAGGGGATCTCATTGTTGGGGTGTTATCACTCGTCAAGCGCAGCGATGTCAAATCTTACAATCTTGAGCTTGCATACCTTCAGTTAGTAACCATCGTCTGTTCGATCTATGTGCGCCAACATTTTTAAGGTTGCTCAAGTAGTCGTTTACTTTCTCGAGGGTACCACCCATTACGCCGTGTCCGATTTTATTTTACTTTCTCAAAATGAAGATTATTTTGATAAAATTTTGCTGCATTAGTAAAGTATAACAATGACTATTAAAACAATTAGAACAACTATTTTACGCTTTTGCAACAAAATAATAACAATGAAGACAAAATACAACCCCCTCTGATACAATTTTTTGAAAATTTGCAGACAAAAATTTCAATGTTAATCGGATTTTTCACTGAAAACATGGGACTTGTTTTTTTTGTCGCCAGTGCAACAAAAAACGATAAATAAACTAACTTTTCTTCGCTGCTTGAATGGCCAATTTTCGGCTTAGTGCACTTCGTGTTTGAAAATCAACATTCATTGCTGCACCCTGCATGAAAAATGGATCAGTTTAGAATGAAAAGAAAAAAAAAATAAAAAAAAAAAGAATGAAAAATCCAACAATAAATGTAATCAGCGAAGTAAACAGGATTTTTTCCAACAGTGAGGCTGAAGAAAAAAGACCTGAGGTCCAACGACAAGGCAAGAAGAGGATTTTATGAATTTCTTAAAAAAGAACGGCGCTGATAATCACTTCGCAGGATTAATCATAGCATAGTTAACAGAATGTGGTGACACATTATCTGAAGGTGGTGCAGCTCAGGATCGAAAGGCTTGGAAGGTTTTCGCCTACTGTGTTAGAGCATTCCTCGTTTTGCGCATCCCAAAAAGCTGCATTTTTAGTCCTGGTCAATATCTGTCGTCATAGACCAGCCGAAATCCCCGGATTGTCGTTTCCTGCTTTCTGCGACTATTTCTCGGGGCCAGTAACATCAGAATCTTGATACCGAAAGAATCCTGGTACGCGAGCTTTACCCGCCAAAATTTTCACTAGCCCGAAGGTGAGCGCGGGGACGCTGAACTTGAATGGGCAAGGTTGAGCGTGGACAGCGGATCATTACCCAAAATTTCAGCCGCCTAGACTCCGTGACAATATGGGTTTTGTACTGCTATTACGCAACATAAAACGCATAAAAAATCGTGCGAAAAAACTGTAAATGCCTTTAAAAATCACCAAAACCAACGACATATCGGTGTGCATTTTTGATGTTATCATTCAGTTAAATACAGTCATGTCCGGCTTTTCAGCCTCGGGCAACCTGTTACCGCCGTTTCAACCACATTTGGACACGTCGATCATCACGGGGACGGGATTCAGATAGATTTTAAAACAAAATTCAGCATTTCATGAAGCATGTGAATGAATTTGAACTCAGAAGCGGAAAATAAACGAAACAGCAGCAAGGCACTCTCTCGAATATTCCGTGCTCCTGAATTTAAATATCACGACCCTAACTGTTAGCTTATTAGGCTAGTGTGTGCCCCGTTTGTAGGAATATGTATGTGTGTGTACGACGTCGCGTCCTATATACATTTTTATTAATACATAGTAAGTTAAAGAGATAATGCATACAATGGTGGTGAGGCTCTGGGGAGCCGAAGCTTCCCAGAATAGGAGTATAAGTTAAAAATAGGTCGCAATGGTGAATGGGTAGTGGCGATCCCGGTGATGGGGAGAAGTGCTTTTATACCCCAGGGGATAAAAATCGAAAGTCCAACGAGGATAGAGTGGACAAAGTTTGAACCAAGGACAGGGGTATTGTGGCATAGCAACGCAGTTGTTCTTTAACTTACTTTTAACCAAAAAAAAGCATTAATCATTAATATACGACATGAATTACCAAGACCATCCCCGATCAATCACTGTGATTATGCCAAATTAGTGATGCCAGCAGAAGTCCCCATCAACCGGGCGTAGCTATGCCAGGCCTTTCGATTCTAAGCTACATTCTTCCAGCAAGTATCCATTGCTTTTGTAGAGTACTTGTAAATGCACCAATGAAAAACGAAATAATTTGAAATGTGAAGGAGTTTACCTGCAGCCATTCAAGAATACGACCTGAGCTGTGTGTTGTATCTGATTGTGATGATAAGCCAGGCGGTTGCACAAGCCATGTTTCTTCATCAAAATCTGAGCTATCAAAAATATTCGAAACTTTATTCACAGTAGCACTCATCCTGAAAATATTTTTTTTTATCTCATCATCCGCGACAAATAAAGTAAGAGAATGCGGTAAACTAAGGCGCGAAATGT